ACATTGAATTTTCAAACACATTCCCTCAGTTTGTCTCTTTAATTACTCTTATGGTAGGACTGCAAACAGTTCTGTACAATTTCAGGGGCAAAAAAAGGTAAGAAATCCTTTTTTTAAATTCAAAACATAAAATAGATGGTGGTTTCTTAAATTTGACTGCAAAAGTGTAAATTAACTTTAGATACCAGTAGTAGAAGGAAGGTCTTCCTGTAAGCTGTAAGAGCTCTAAAAGATTCTAGGCCAAGAACAGCACGCCACTCTTCTAAATGCAGGGTAATACTGCATCAATCAGGATAGTAATCTGCCAGTGGCTCAAAAAAGCCCCCCTGGAAGTAGACAATGAAATGGAGGTCCAGAAGAGTCAGAGCTAGACTCTGCCATTGATGGTGCAGGAAGGAACATGTTTAGATCTTCTGCAGGCAGAATGCTTTAGTAATTGGACCTAAACAAAGCAAAAGTTCTAAGTGGACATGGAGGTCCTTGTGGACAGGGGAAGGCCTAACCCTTACCCACTGTAGCTGAAGAAAACTCTGATGAGGAGGAACCTATAATAAAAAGGGTCCCATAATATAAATTATGGTGCTGGTTTCTTGTGGGGATACCAAGTAATTGCCTCTAGAACCAAAAGGGGAGCATGGGCTGAGGTTACTCATTGCAGTGGGATTGTCCTGTGTGCATCTTTGAGAAGACATATTGTGCAGTGTAGTGGAAAACAACTAGACCCAAAGTGAAACAAGTTCTTACATTCTAAAAATCCAAACAGCTGATGCTTAGAGGGTCACAGGTGGCTGGAGGTGAACAAGTCACTGTAAACAGGCAGTGGAATGAGACAGATGATCCACATACAGCAGCAGTGGGATTGTGCTTCCTTTAGGCAGAATGGCTGCAGAATATGTGTGAAGTTTGCACATATGACACTATGCATAACTAAGGACCTCATCCTTAACCCTAAAAACCAGCAGTAAAGGGAAATTTTATAAAGTGCACAACTGTACCACAATGAGATAGCTCTTGATGCTTCAGCCCAATCATCTTTACTTACAAAGTGAGCGTTCAGAGACAGAATTTAGTTAGACTTTGATCAGCAGAGCTGATCAGAAACAGTGTCCAGTTTGCTACTACCCTAGCAAAAAGGTAAGGCCTGGTGGTAGAGATAGGAGCTGGTTTCAACAGTATTTTTTTTGCCAGTGTCCGAACCTTCTATACTGCAGTATAACCTGACTGTCTAAGAATTCCTGAATTCATGTGCCCCCCCAAAAAACAATAATGGAAATTCAATTGCTTTAGTCTTAGTTTATGACCTCTCATTCATCATTATTTACATTTTCAAGTACATTAACTTGGGTTCTTCTAACATACTTACAATTAATAATTTCTAACTTCATCTGCAAATCAAACCTGCCACTAACACATCAGCACCGGGTTTGAGTCAAACATAGTAACAGACCCATCCTGGTGGAACAAACAAGTACAGTTTCACTTTATGGTTACGCTCAGGTTTTTGTGCAGTTATTTAAGACCACTGCACATTTTCACAAAAATATTAATTAAATCAGCTATCAAGATGAATTTTATTAGCTTTGAGAACTACCTCAAAAGTCAAAAGATTTTATGCACGCATGTATGCACATTTTTTCAGTTTCATAAAAAAATAAGGAGCTGTGTCATCATTCCCCATCTCCGCAAAGTTGAAAGGTAAGGAAGAAGAGAAATTTGGTACAGTTTAGTATGGCATACACACATTTCCACTTACACAGGGCATCTGAGGCATTTAAATACCAACACCCTTACCCTCCCAGAGTCTTCCTCTACAGCCAAAGAATAGACTGTGAGAGTGGGCATTGACAACTTGATCATGGCAGATTGTTGAACACCATTGAGCTATGGGAGGCTTACAAAGTAATTTCATTCACCAAAGAGGAGAGAGAGATTTCTTTTCTCTCAAGAACAATATAAGTACTTTTAACAATATTGTTCAAAATGTACCACTCATTGAATGAGCCAAGAGCCACAATCTCAGAAATGTTCCAAAAATGCTCCAACTAAATACCCAAAAATCCATATATTAAACATATTAAATAAATTAACTACAATTAAGTACTGTGACACTAAACAGGATGTAAACATTCTTCTATCTCCCCCCTGTCTTTTTTTCCTTGGTTGAGCACAACATCAAAGTTATTATTATTATAATACAGGATTTATATAGAGCCAACAGTTCGCTCAGCGCTTTACAATATAAATTATAGACTGATCTGTTTACAATAGAATAAAAGGGGGTGGTGGAGAACACTTAACTAGACTTGGAGGAAAAGTCCAAAAATGCATACATTACAGAAAATTGGCAAAACATGTATCTCTTTCAATTTTTCCAGATCATAAAGCAGTGATGGCAAACTGTTTAGGTCCTAAGGAAGAAACTATCAGGAAACACTCAGAACACAAAATCATACACTATAGTGTACCCAGAAAAAAAAATAAATTATTAGCAAACCAATTCAATGTTCACCCTGGCAACAAATGGTTAGATAAAGAAAAAACAACTCAAGAATACTTCTAATAAATTGTTTTAAAATTAAGTATTCAACAATTTATTAGATTTAATTACTTATATTAAATTTTAGTAATAATAATTGTTAATTTTTAATAATAAATTAATTCCTTTTAAAAGTAATTATAGCATTTGTGTGGAGCATGAATTTTTTAATATATTTTAATTTTTTTTATATTAGATTCTAATATAATTAGCTTCATTCTTAGATACTTATGTTGTGGGTTTGATAATGTAAAGGATGGTATTATTTATTGTAGATAATTTTTACCCCTTAGAAGCAATAGATTAAATATGAGAGTTCGCTTTAGACTCCAATAAAATGGCCGCCGTTAAGAGATATATAATTAAGTTAGGTTAATTAGATTATCCCAGTGTAGTATTAATAATAAGTCTGGCTCATATGGTATATATTAGTTGATTAATAATCTGGTGTAATTTATAGCTGTAGTTTCAATATATTTGCCACCCAGGCTCAGTCTGGGAAGGAGGAGTAGTATATGAGTCTGTCCACACCATCGGACCTCAGTAAAATGGCCACCGGAGGTCCGCCTCTGAGCTGTGATTGACATCCAGCTTCTTTATATAAAGCCGAATGTGACCAATTACGTGACCCTGATGAAGTCACGTGATAACGGGACGTAACGCGTAGGAATGTGGTGACGTATTTCCGGTGCAGACACCATCTTGTTACACCTAAACCCATGCAAGTACATCCATAGCATGAGGTTTTACTGCTTGTGTTTTTTTAATGAAAAGTGAGTGGGCAATTCACTATACATGTATTTTATACTATATTAAATGGTTTTACACTATGGAAGATCTCTTTTATGTCTTCACTTTGATCTCCATGTGAGTGGGCTATATCACATTTATACATGCCTGAAGGGGACCGTGCTGCCTAAATGCATAAAGAGTGAAGGGGATATCACCGCTCTTGGAAGGCTATCACACGGAGAGGGGAATCCTACCATGGAGGATCCTTTTGTGATCCTAAAAGTGTTTTGGCCCTTTTAGGTCGCTGCAAGGAGGTGAGGGGGCAATTCAGCCGTTTAAGGATTATTTCCCATTGGTTGTTATGCACATCCACCCTATCACCTGCACGTTTGAAAAATCGCTGGATCACTTGGTGTTTTTGCATCTTTGAACTTTTTATATACGTGTTTATTCATTTATTATATATTTGATGTGTATGTTTTTTTATATATGGTTCATTTATCAATTTATTTGAATTCTGTGTATATTTTGAATCACTATTTGAAATTGAAGAATGGTGAAGTTTTATATTGTCACCAGAATTTCTGATGATATACAGCACACACAGAGGAGCTTTATCCCTTCATAGGGATTCACGGATTTGTCACTTTGTTTTAATTTTGATTTTTTTCTATTCTTTGGCATTTTCAGTCACTGTATATTGGTTGCTTTAGGTGTGATATTGGTCAAACATGAGGGTTTTGTGAGGTATCATTCATTTGTTTTTTTTCACAATTATTTAGTCCCATTTGGACTAATTTTGTTCACTGTTATGTTTTATTAAGTCACCCTGTCTAATCACTTTTTGGCTGTCACTATAGATCCCTGAGTGGATCAGTTCACTTTGTTGACATTATTCCAGGTTTCTGGATTGATTTTATTTCATTTGGTTTATACCATTTTGTTCAATCACCTGTTTCGGTACACTATAGATGCCAGAGAGGATCAGTTCACTTTTTATTCACAGGTAATTGTCACCTATGTAAATATATTTATTTTATATATAATATAGTTTATTTAAGTTAAGCGCTGTACCAGTTTAATTAATATTGTACATTATTCATATGGTTTATGATTGGGTGCTGGCAGCTCCCCACGATAGGTAGCATTGTCCATTTAGAGTGCAGGAGGACTACACCTCAATGATCTCATTTCTTGAGACCCAGGACAGTACAAATAACCCCAAAATTACCACTTTTTCGGAAAGTAGACAATCTGAGGTATTTAGTAAGTATGGTGTGGTTTTTGAAGTTGTTATTTTTTGTCAGAATTTTGTGGAAAATTAAGAAATTAAAACATTTTTCCGCAATTTACTGTCACCAATGCAGTACAGCATCATCATATTACTGGTGTATCGGTGAATCAGGGACACTGTCTGGTGACAGTATGTAAAAAAAAAAATAATAATAATAATTTTTTACAATTTTTTTAAATGACATTATTACATTTTTTCTAATGGTTTTTTTCCTACTCTTGTGACCAAAGCAATACAGTGTTACCATAGTAACATTGTACTACTCTGGGTAAGTAATCAGGATTTATTATTTTTACACATTATGATTGCTTATACCAACGAATTTCATCAGTATAAGCAAGCATTTTTACTTCATGAAACTGATTAATTCAGTAGTTTTTGTTGTGATTGGCCATAGCTGATCACATGCTACAGATGGGCTGTGATTGACCCAGTCTGTATATGTGATCACTGTGACCAATCACAGATCACAGCACAATTGTAAGCAATGAATGGCATGGAAGGAAGCCATTAATTGTTTACAACTGTCATGTGATCTGCTGTGATTGGTCACAGTGATCATATGACACTGCCAGTGGGCCTGAGTAGTGATCTGTCATCGGCCGTGTCCCATGGACACAGCCGGTGACAAATCGTGTTGAGGCGTGATCTTGTGAGGACATGATACAATGTTCTCCCAGGATAACATTGTTCCTCCTCGGCCGTCGTATTGCAATAGGCCGAGCGGGAAGGAGTTAAACCATACCAGCACATATTGTTTGTACTTCTCAAGACCTTTGTCGCATTCAAAAGAACGTAAAAATATTATCTTATGTCTTAAAGGTTTAAATTACCAGAATTTACCCTCTCTTCTTCAGACTCACTTTCTGCCTGCCACACCTCCCTCCTTTTGAGTGTAACTGGAACTCTGTTAAACCCAGGGGCAGACTGACCATTTGGAAACTCGGGCACTGCCCGAGGGCCTGGGGTCAGTAGGGGGCCCCATGAGATGCCCCTGGTACCTTTTTCATAGATTTTTTTGAGTTTGGGCAAGGACACAGGGGCCCCATGATCCCCTATTGCCCAGGAGCCCCATGAGTTGTCAGTCCGCCCCTGGTTAAACCCATCACATGTTGGGGTGGAGGCATGGTTGCAGTAACCTTTTCTGTGACATTTGTGAAGGAAGTCCCAGACTGCACAACAAGACATTCCAAGAATGTGGAGAAAAACTATTTCTTCCAAGCAAACCTGTTATTATATAAAGAACCCAACATTTGCATAAAATCACTTACTTACATAGTTACATAGTAGTTAGTCTAGCTGAAAAAAGACAAAAGTCCATCCAGTTCAACCATAGAAAAAAAAAAGTTATCCTATACCCACAGTTGATTCAGAGGAAGGCAAAAAAATCCAGCAAAGCATGATCCAATCTGCTCATGCTGGGAAAAAAATTCCTTCTTATCCCCCAAGAGGCAATCGGATATTCCCTGGATCAACTTTACTTATAAATGTTCGTATCAGGGGTGGACTGACCAATTGGAAACTCGGGCACTGCCCGAGGGCCTGGGGTCAGTAGGGGGCCCCTATGAGATGCCCCTGGTACTTTTTTCATAGGCTTTTTTGAGTTTGGGTAGGAAACAGGGGCCCTATGATCCCTATTGCCCGGGGGCCCCATGAGTTGTCAGTCTGCCCCTGGTTAGTATCCAGTTATATTCTGTGTATCTAAGAAAGAATCCAGGCCTTTTTTGAAGCAATCCACTGAGCTGCCCAGAACCAACTCTTGAGGGAGTCTATTCCACATTTTCACAGCTCTCACTGTGAAGAAACCTTTCCGTGTTTGAAGATTACATTTCTTTTCCTCCAGACATAAAGAGTGCCCCCTTGTCCTCTGTGATGACCTCAGGGTGAATAACTCTACAATGAGTTCACTATATGAACCACTGCTGTATTTATACATGTTGATCATACCCCCCCTTAATCTCCTCTTCTCAAGAGAAAATAAATTCAGTTCCTCTAATCTTTCCTCATAGCTGATCTCCTCCATGCCTCTTATCAGTTTAGTTGCCCTTCTCTGTACTTTCTCCAGTTCCAATGTTCTTTTTGTGAATTGATGCCCAAAACTGAACTGCATATTCCAGATGAGGTCTTACTAATGATTTGTACAGGGGTAATATGATATCTCTCTCTCTCTGGAGTCTATACCTCTTTTAATACAAGAGAGGATTTTGCTCGCTTTACTTAATAAAGTAATTTAACCATTACTAATTCATATAATAATTTAATTCTGTAGGCAGAAATCCACAAGTACTAAGACTGAAACAACAATACCTGTTTTGGAACTGCCAGAGTACCACAGATTTAGCCCCAGGTCACGTATATGAGAATTTGATGCGCTTTGAACTGCATCCAATTCCCATGAACCCAACTGGCCTTCTGTGGAGCTGGTTCACATATGTGTGGGCTGGCCATAGTGTGACTTTAATAAGAGTCAGGTAAATTTTCAATCAAGGTCAGGGGCAATTTTAAGCGTCATACACTTTAAAATTTTACTCATTAGCTTTCAGCAGACTTAATCTGGCCATACACTGAGAATAATTTTTCCAGTTCCCGATTTTTAGCTGAACAGTAGCTGCATCCAATCAGATGCAGCCATTGCTCAGGTGTTCTGACAGCAGCCAACGGCTATCAGAATACAGGAGATTTGTCCATCCTCACTGCATAGTGTGGATGGAAAAATCAGATTTCTTCTCCAAAATAAAATTCATAAATTTTCTAGTGCTTCCAACCTCTGGTGCAATCCACATATTCACCTGTCTTTACATTACAAATTACCTGTGCATGGCATGTAATCATGTCCCATGAACAGTATATGCTCACCTCCAGTCATTTTGACCCCAATGGTAAATTAAATTCAAATGCATGTTTGCACCCTATATGCCAAATGGCTCACATTCACTGATGCAAAAAAACAAAAAACAAACTGGGACCAATAGTGCTCTCCATACATTTAAAATAAATTAATATCTCTAGAAAATGACATTCACAAAAAAGTGCACACACAGTGCTATGTACAGCACATGACATAATATGGGCAGCTTCTCTCTCACCACAGACTCTGCAGACCTCAAGCTGGTCACCATATGACATCACTAATGTGACTCCACCCTTATACGCATTACGCCCGATCCACAGGCTTCCTCAGTAGGATCGGAGCAGGCCGGCAAGAAGCAATTGAATACTCTCCCCACCATCACCATAGAGACCGCGTAGAGAAGTGACATAGCAGGAGACCTATTCAGATAGGAATCTAACACCCTAAGGGGCTGTTTCACTCCATCTGACCCTGGAAAGAACATTCACTTGAGACACCTCTACAATTAAATAAAGGTGCCAATAAAAAAGTTTAACCTCCCAGGCATATCTCCAGCGACATCTCCTGAATACATATAAGCCAAATAAATAAATATATTATGACAGATGCAATATCACTATATCCATGTCTGCACAACACAGCCCCTTATCAAGAGGTATACCGCCTATCATGTGCACGTATTACAATTTATTACACATAAATAGATATACATTTTGAAACCATATACCATTGCAATAAAACACAAAAAATAAAATAATTTAAAAAATATAAATGAATGAAAATGTGTCATACATCAGAACCCAGTTCCTCCAGATACTATCCTCCTATATTATCTGCTAAAACTATTTTAGCAAATAAACTGCATCACTTATAAAGCAGCTTAGGTTTAAGTCTATATTTATTCCACTAGGGTACAACACCTGGTTTTGTATATCCAGTATGATTTCCTACTGCTCCCCCCAATGTTTATCAACCTTTTCTCTTGCCCAAAACGTCAAGCCTGTGTGCCTCTTGGAAATATATTTAGATATGTTATGTTTCTTCTCTCCTTTTCTAATTTATTGACATGCTCTCTAATGCATATTTGAAATTGTCTAGAGGTGCAGCCAACAAATTGTTGGCCACACGGACATTTCACTATATTTTCTCCCTGCAGCATTGGTGGTAAATTCCTTTTTTTTCCTACTGTTGACACTAGAAGATCTGCACCCTCCACACACAGAAACTCCATTCAGGAAAGGCATCAACTTAGTCTCCTTCCTACTATCAGGGGGATCAATCACCCTCAGTGCCAACTTGTCATGAAGGGTAGGTGCTTTTTTTTATACACAAAATATGGGCAAGAAGGCAACACAGGTCCAAGTACCCTATCTTCAAGAAAGATGTTCCAGTATTTCCTAATTATTTTTTCTATTTCCCTATATTGTACATTATAATCCAATATTCTCCTAAATTCACTGGTACTTCTATCTTAACCTTGAATTGGATCCTTGTCTTAAATCAATATGCCCCTGTCCATCCCCTGTACTTTTTCAAACTCTGCACTAATCATTTCTCTCTGGTAACCTTTCTGAATACATCAGTTTGCTAAAACCTCTATTACAGATATTCACTCTCCCTTGTGCAGTTTCTCCGCAACCTCATAAACTGGCCCCTGGGTATACTGAACAACCAGTGTTTGTGATGACAACTATCTATTGCAATATACCCATTGTGGTCAGTAGGCTTAAATAGTTTTTAGTTATGAACTTACCCCTCTCCATTATGATGACCAAATATAAAAATGTAATTCTTTTTCTATCCACTTGCCATGTTAGAACTATATTTGTGTCATTCCTATTTAATTTCTCCATGAAAACTCTTAAACTGGGTTTGTCTCCCTTCTAAATCAGGAACAGATCATCTATGAACTTCCTGTAGCATATTAATTTCTTAGGTTTGTCATTGAACACTGTTTCTGCGTCCCTAGTGTGCCATAAAAAAATATTGGCGACAATGTAAGCAAACCTTGCTCCCATTGCCACTCCCATCACTTTCAAATAGTGCTGTTGGTCGTACCAGAAATAGTTACTACTTTACAGTACAGTACTTTAAACCAAATTCCAAACACTCTACCAAAAACGTTTTATGCCTCCTGGTCAGGTCAGATGTCTAATGCCAATTTAACAGATGACACAGCATCCTGATGATTAATTTTTGTATATAAAGAGCCGACATGTGCAGTCACCATGAAGCAAGAGTCAGAACATTGTATATTGTTTAATATTTGGAGTAGATGTTTGTATCTCTGAGATATGCCAACAGTTGTAAGAAATAATCAATATATCGTCCAAGACACGATGTAACGGAATCAATACCTTTGACAATAGGCCTCTTCCGAAGCTTCTTACGATTTTTATGCAACTCAGGGAGGAAGAAAATTACCGGAGTTCTGCAAGCAAATGGATTAAGATATTCAGCTTCTTTTTTGTTAAGAATTTGTTTATCTGAACCTACACATCTATGTATAAAGAATTGTAATACATGCACATGATAGACAGTATACCTCTTGATAAGGGGTTGGGTTGTTTAGACACGTATATAGTGATATTGCATCTATCACAATATACTGTATGTTATTTATTTGGCACTTTTGAATTCAGGTGATGTTGCTGGAGACCTACTGGTACCTGCCTGGGAGGTTATACTTTTTATTGGCACCTTTATTTAATCATATGGGGTGTTTTGAGTGAGTAAAAAGTCTGATATGTTCTTCCCAGGGTTGTATGTAGTGAAACAGCCCCATGCTGTGTCATGCAATGCCACATTAGGTCCCGTACTGACCACTGTTGTGGTCTCTATGGTGATAGTGGGGAGAGTATGAAAATGCATCTTGCTGGTCTGCTCCGGTCCTACTGAGGAAGCTCGTGGATTGGGTGCATTTGACCTTGATTTAATATTAAGGTCAATAACTAAAGGTGAGCATATATTGCTCACAGGAAATGCCGTGCATGGGTGATTTGTAATGTAAAGACAGCTGTATACATGGATTGCTCCAGTGGTCAGAAGCATTACAAAATGCATGGACTTTATTTTGAAGTTTAAACAATTGTTTAGACTTTTTGATTTAATTAATATTTATGTTGTTTGGTAGGGTTGTGCTACATCATAATAAGTACAAGTGTATGGCCACAGCTTTACCCTTTGGGTAAATTGTAAACCATATTGCCAAAGACCTCTAGTA